AGACAGATGCAGTATGTAACAGTCTTTGCTTTTAATAGAATGATCCTACAGTATTGTCGAGAACGCGCACTTGACTTTTGTGAGGATTTTGCTTCATCCTAACCTTGTTCATACGATTCAAAGTGATAACGGTGTTTCGCTGCCGGGCTTCTCCTCTGATAAAAAAAACCTATGTACCTATTTTACAGTAAGGGTTTTCTGCAATAAAAGGTGATACGGAGATTACCAGATGCTTCGTTAACTGTCAACAATATTCGCTCCAGAAGATTTGCCCTTGTGCCTTATGGACATGCGTAGTTACAAATTAGATATTTGACAAAAGCATTTGGGAACCTCTGAACACCATGGCTTTTCTTCACATTGTCGCGTGTTTCTGCGATGGAGAAAAAAAGAGGTTGAGCAGGTTAAATTGCTTCTAAACACTCGCACAAGCCTCATGTGTATCTTCTTGTACTGATACATAAAACGTTTCAAAATAATTACAGGTTGTAACATAAGCTGTCTGCCGGAGGTGTGGCAGACACATTCTTCTCAGATAAAGGGGCAGGCGGCCCTGCGATTGGGCAGGCGCGCAGCGGAAAAATAGTTCGCTGATTTCTTGCGATCCTCTTGCAGATATCTGAGGGAATGTTGGCGAAATTTTAGACAAATTCTCAGAGAACAATCGCGGACTTTTCATGGATTAGTTGCGGCGCTTTCTTGCGAACTTTCCGCGAGAACATAAAAAATTGTTGAGGGCCGCACGGTCCTTTGTGAAGGACCGCGCAGCCCATAGGTACCTCACTGAGAGAATGTATCCCAAAGTCGGGTAATTGGACCACCGATGATACCTCTGTTGTGTAGAGTGTTACCTTTCCTCGGCGTAAGCCCGGAACTGCGTAAAAAGAGTCCTTGCGCCTGATGAAAGTTTAGCCCGCGCTCGCTGAAAGAGATTATTTGACGAGCGCTTGCAGAAAATTTTGTATTGCTGCTCGCTGGCAGAACACGGAACCGCTCGCTGATGTTCTGGCCACGCCTCAAAATTTTGCTTACTTGCAGAAAAGCGAGGGTTTGTGAACCGCCTGCCCCCGGCGATTTTCTGAGACGTTGCACCCATGAAAGTGCTCTTCACGATCTATCCATCAATACCCCTCATCTCCTCCCCCCCCCCCCCCTCGAACCCCGCTTCTGTGACTATCAGCGAATTTTTCCAGGTCACTGATTTCCCCATGTTGAATGCATGACTCGCATCTGTGAACGATACGATCAAAAGAACTCTCAGACCGCTTGTCTCCCCGACATAGGAGCGGAAGGAGTATTAGATTCCGAAAAGAGCGAGTCGAGCTGATAGGTCATTAACGCACTACCGCCACGGGTCGTAGTTCGTGAAGGACCAGGGGCGGTATGCATCAATCTCCCGTTTTAAAAGCGGGCAATCATTTACAATAGAAACTGATTGCCCGGCCGGGTTGGGCGCCCGACCCCTGTATGATTTCTATTGGAAATGATCGCCCGCTTTCGAACCGGGAGATTGATGCATATCGCCGCAGATCAGCGAAGGTTAGGTTCTCCAAGTGTTGAATATTAGCAAGCTCAAAAAAAACGAGGGGAGCGAGTTGCTGAATAGCATTGAGCGGGATGCTCTAAATGGCAGTCAAGCGGGCTGCTACAAAGCGGCATTAAAGGCAGTGTCCGGGCAAAAACTCGATTTTGAGATTTTATGCTTACTTGGGCCTATTCGTTACGCTGAACCCGAAAATGCACATTGGAGAGCGCGAAAACGGCGAAAAACGGCTTTAACGCAAGAGGGAATTAGTGACCTTCCAAGTGGGCGGGGTCCTCCCCACTGTGAATTCACTCTCCCAGCTTCCGGAGCGATTTTCTCGCTTCCAGTTTCAAGTCAATCATTCGTACTTGGCCGGTAGCGATGTTAAGGCGGCTAGTGGACTCGAGAAAACCGCTCCGGAAGTTGGGAGCGCGAATTCACAGTGGGGAGGGCCCCGCCCACTTGCTGTTTCCCTCCTGCGCTAAAGCCCTTTTTTGCCGTTTTCGCGCTTTCCCATGTTGATTTTCGGATTCAGCATGGCAAGTAGGCCCGTAAAAGCACAAAATCTCAAAATCGAGTTTTTGCCCGGACACTGCCTTTAAGGTGGAAGTCACATGGCATTGAGAGGGATGCTCTAAATGGCATTCAGCGGGAATCCACGGTGGCAGCGATAAGGCGAGGTGGCTTTTGGTGGGGATTGGTGGCGGCTTCACGCCGCCCGCTAAGAGTTTTCAAATTTCTGAGTAGGTTGCTCGTGAGCAACACGAGACGCTTAGTTGACGTATTATTGAGGTGCAAGAATGTGCAAAACTGCACAATCTCGGGACCAAAGTGGGAGAGGACCAATGATCAGCTGCAAGGAAATAGGCAAAAAAGATTTCTTGTTTTTCTTGCAAAATCTTGCTTGATTTTTTTAAGCCTCTTCGAGGGCAAAGAATGGAACTTTATCTTTCTATCTATTTTCGGAAAATTGCGATTTTTTGCCAGTATGCATGTCAAAATGTTGTGAACTTGTTTTATATCTTCGTTTGCTAAGCGTCTCTGATAGTGTTCATTGTTGATTTTTCGACAATGGCCGCTAACAGAGACTGCCCGGCAATGCAGCAAAAATGTTTCCACTAGCATCCGAACCTTGGCCGCACTCTGAGTTAACAGTGACTTAGCCGTCCGACCACAACTGCTTGAGTAGTTGTAGTTGCGTTCTCAAAAACATACATGCTTATCATGTCCAAAAGGCGGTCCCCGGAGTGAGGCGTCCTACGTGAATCGTAGGCCCGCCTCCCGCTGAGTTGCGTTGAATAGGAGTTTACTACAGACCATTATCTTGAAGTCATTTGCTCCCGTGCATAAAGACTGCCTTTGCGAGAGAATTGGGAGTAGCAAAGTTAGTCATACTTGAAATCGATAATTTTGAGCCGACTTATAACTACACGTTTTCTGATCGAATCAGTGATTTTTTTGCAAAATACCTTACCGAACGTAAGGAACCAGCGCGAATAGCAGATCTTTAGCGATACAACACATGCTTTCCTATAATCACTCAAGCGAAAGAACATGATCGACGTTTAAATATACTAGCATGGCGCGAATTTGCTCATTATATGGCCAATGGTTTTTTAAGCAGCAAAAAGTGAATATACTCACTTTCTTCGTCATTTTAAAAAGTGCGCAGAACTGCCTTTTCGAAACTTTCTGATTTTTTTCTTCCCAAAAAACTTTGCCATTTTTGCAGCATGAAATATTCCCAGCAATCGGTCAAAGTTGAGTCGAAATTCTTCTGCTAAGCAAATATCTAATAGTGCTAAGGATTTTGTAGCACATTTCACAACAATACGCGTGCTTTTTGAAGCAACTCTTAACTCATAGTAGGGTAGATATTTCTAGTTCAGAATCTTTTCTATGAAGACATAGGACTCTGGATTGTAGAAAACTGGAAGAAGCGGACTCGCACATATTTTATCAGCAAAATATTTTCTCCCTTCAAAGATCAGTTTTGAGAAAGAGAAGTTAGAAAAGCGTGCATTGATCAACCTGTTAATTCGAGCTGGAAAGGCTCAAACGGTTTATTGTGGTTCTATCACTATAAACAATCATTACTTTTTCTCTTTCTAGTGTTTTGCGATAAAAATTTCGAGAGATAGTTGTGTTGTTGAGGTCGAAGTTTCATCAAAACAACAAATTCAGTCACCGCCCTTTCCCTCCAATGCATATCCTAACGACTCTCAATGGTGTGCCACCGCTCATTTGCCATTGAGGGAGGGGATGCATGACATCTGTTGCCAGGATTGCCATCGACTACGAGCTATGATTGACTTGATGGTTCTATGTGTGGTATATATCTGCGCGAGCGGGCCTATCACCAACGTACTCTAGCCCTTGTATGAGATCATTAGTACGTGTTGTAATGTTGCTAACATCATATAGGTTTTTTACACTATAGAAAAATCGAGCAATGCGAGCGAAAGTAACATGATTGAAGTGAACCAAGGACCCAGGCATGCTTGGCTTAGAAATGTCTTCTTCTTCTGATACTCTCTCACTACACCGTAAGTTACCAACAAGATGGCATGCCAATTAGATTGTAGGAAGAAGTGTTTACTACAACAAGGTTTCTGAGAGAAAGTAAGGGCTTACTGTTTAAATGTCAGGCTGATTAAGCAGAATTGCGTTGCTTCGACCAATGCAAGGCCACTTCATACTTTCCTGCGCCTTTGTCGATAACATAATGATCTTCTTCAAAAATTTGATTTCAATCTTTAAAGCGTTGAAAACGTTCTTATAACCTTCTTCAACCGCTTGAATTGCAATAATGCCTTAAAGGTAGTGTCCGGGCAAAAAGTCGATCCTGAGATTTTGTGCTTACCCGGGCCTATTCGCCATGCTGAATCCGAAAATCCACACTGGAAAGCGCGAAAACGGCGAAAAGGGCTCTAGCATAGGAGTAAAATCAAAAGGGGGCGGGGTCTTCCTCACGATGAATTCACGTTCCCAGCTTCCGGAGCGATCTTTTTAATCCCGCCAACCGTCCTGACATCATCTCCACAGACCAAGTGCGTATGCCTGACCTGAAATCGGAGGATCGCTCCGGAAGCTGGGACCGTGAACTCACCGTGAGGAGGACCCCACCCCTTTTTGATTTTACTCCTACACTAGAGCCCTTTTTCGCCGTTTTCGCGCTTTCCAATGTGGATTTTCGGATTCAGCATAGCGAATAGGCCCGTAAAAGCACAAAATCTCAAAATGAGTTTTTGCCCGGACACTGCCTTTAATGGAACGTTTTTAAGTTACCAAAATTCCCCACTCTTCTTCTACTAGGGCACTTTACTTCTCCTGCACCAGGCTTTAACTCTTGCATATGTCCTGCTAATACTCGACTAATATGTTTATTCATTCACGGAGAAATCCGTGTGTAAATACATTTGCTTATGTTTTCACATTTCAGATGGAGTTTCCAATAATGTTACTGTCAGTTATCATGTTACTGTTTTGTATAAGAGGAAAAGATACAAGAGGTATGGCTAGTTAACAATAAATTCATATCAACGGGTCACGAGTCCTTTTTTACTTAGTAAAGTATTTTTAATCACGCGCATAATTAACTTTTGTTTCTCGAGATGGCAAAAGTTTTTATCAGTTGAGAAGATATCTACGAAGTCTGTTGCGCAATAAAGGCAATGCGTTTAAGCCAAGCTCGAACGTCCTCGTCATTAGTCCCATACTAAACGTTAAAGCTGTTTTGCCATAATAGAATATCAGAAAATAGGTGCTAGTCTAACCTGAAACTCTATTAGACTTCAATACTTCTCGTGCGCCGAAACGCGCTCCGTGTGCCAATTTAGTCTACTTTTCTCCGCGTAGGGCAACTTGGGCATCGGCATAAAAAGAAGTTCCTGTTGAAATCTTTGAAATCTCTCAAAATCCCATACCAAATCTGGTGGTACGCTACTGTTGAAAGATGAAGTGTCTTTTAAGTTAGTTGGTCATAAGGGTAATCTGCAAAATTTAATCTACACTTCTAAATAAGCCGTTTCCCCAGTTCTCGCGCACCCCCTAAAAAGTTTCTGATGGTGAAGTCTTGCTGCTAGCATATACCACATGCAATATTGGCGAAATCGTGCTTCAAGCATACCAGTCTTCCAAATACTCTTTGTTGCACAGCTATGTCACTGTCGAATGCTCTTTCGAGGCATAAACTAGACTCTATTTGGCTTAATTTTACACCTCGCCTGCGTAGGGGTGGAAGCAAAACACGTAGCGACCTCCTCCCGTTACTATTCGATTTACAACTTACACTTACCAGCATACCCTCGATACATAGAGTCACTACTCTGGTAACCTTCACTTTGGGGGTTATGAGGGGACACAACCTTCACCTGGAAAAAAAAAACAGAAGTCACTTCTGTTATTATCCTGATTATATCGGAACGAATGTTAATGAAGCAAATATAGGGAATATCTCTAGCTTATCTCAGCGAAACCGGGAATTTGCGTCTTCATAGCCTTTTACTTTTAAAAAAATGTTTCTGTGGGATTTTCGCCAGAATTCAAAACAAAATTTTTTAATTAACCTCTCATTTGAACCAAATTGAGTTTCAGAAATTTGAAAAAGCTTTGGAGTTAAATAGGGACGAGAAACTGCGCTTAAATCTTGCGCAGAAAGTCGCACACAAAAACGCTGGTCTATCTCGTTAATGAGTGATTTTGAATGACTGGGACGTTGTCGATTCTCGTCATCGTGTCATGGCGATCAGAATGATATATGATGTTGCAGGGTTTCGTTGAGACCCTGCGGAGATCTACGACCTGAGCCAAATGCCCCGTCGGCTCTGGTCTGTCTCCGCTGCTCGTCTGCGTCTCCGCGCGCTGCGCGTTACCTCGTTACCCCAAACGCGGGGCGCGGGGCATTTGGTTCTGGTACCCTTTTCTTCGCTGTTTCGAACCCAATTTTAGCAAGCTATATATCATTTTGAAGTCTTGATCTCTATTTTCACGCTGAAAACGTCCCAGAACCAAATTTTTTGATTTGATCGAGAAATCCGGCAAAAACTTGTTTTCGAAAATCTCTTGTTCTTCTCCTAGTTTAACTATTTCCACGCGGTTTTTTCATGCATTCTATAGATCTTGCTTCTGTTCATAATGTTCTGTTCAACCACCCAGCCTTTATCTCTTTGATTATTGTGGATTTTTTTGCGAAAAATCGTAAAAAGTGCGTTTTTCTTTACCTTGTTCTGTTTCATTGCTTTCGCATCGATTTTTTTCCAGCTTGGGCGATTGTGGCTCAGAACAATAAGCGCAACAATACAGACAGCGTGCCAGGAAACAGGAACGTCAATGCGGGATAAAAATTTAAAGGACGCATCAAAAATCAAAACCCCGTGTTGCGAATTTCTGGTCCTAAAGCGAAAACTTGCACTTTGAAAAGCCGCCAAATGAAAGATTTTAAGCCTCATTGCAGCGTTTTTATCCGGTTTTCAGCAGTTTCTTTTGCTTTTTATATCTGCTTTATGTCATTTTCTCTTCTCTGATCATCTTTGAACAACCTTCACTATTTATGATGTCAGGTGCTCAAACAACCTTCACTTTTGACGCCCTGTCTCTAGACTATCGAAGGTATGCTTACCAGGAAAGGATCACTGATTGAAGTGGCCATATGAGAAGTGATGCATATAGGTAGATAATTCTTTGAATGCTGATGTCCCATCTGTGTTCACTATATGCGGAGCGTCTCTGTAAAAGGAGTTATGAGCTTTTTTTTCTCCAAAAACGGCCTTCCCTCTAAAGACGCGACAAAGCATTTTCGGTGTGGCGACGTAGTGTAGCGGTGAGCGGCTGAGTTTACAGGTGAGTGGTCGTTCAGCAGTTTTGCATTTTTCTAAAACCATTGCTTGCCCTTGAAATTGCCACTTATGGACGCATTTGTCGTAAATTTCGCTACAAGTGATCATTTTGCTTATATTTGGAAAATGTAATTATTGCTACAGAGTTGAGGAGTTTGTTGTAACAGCTATTGCAGATGTATAGAAACTTTAACAGGCAAATTATGAGCAGATATGGTAATCAATCACAAAGTGTTGAAAACAAAAATGCTTTTCATAGCGTGCGCAACGGATAAATATGGAATTGTTACAGTCGTTCTCTTGACAGTAAACCGCAGACTCTCATGTTGGAGGGAAAACAAACCTGATTTGGAGTTTAAGGTTCAGATTGATTTGCATAGTCAGCGGCTTTCCATGAACAAGGAAGAAGAGATTCAAAATGCGGAGAAGAAAACTGATGAATAAATGAGAAAGAAGCTTGAAAATAGAAACTCTGTGGTTAACAGGGAAGTCGATTTCATGTGCAAATATAAATGAAACGAAAAGTACGTGGGTTCGATTGTTTGAAAAAAAACGTATAGGGGTTGGATCCCGGACGGAGTCCCCGTTGGTATGTTCATTATTTTAAAGCTATTCCCGCTCAGTAAAGCAAATAGGGTGGCGTTATGATCTTTGAAAGAAGATACCACGAATCAACCAAAAGTAGCGTAGAGGTGACGGTCTGGGGCTGGTACACAGAACCAACCCATTTAAGAGCAGTTGTTTATCATTAGGCTGGGTCCACTATTCCCAAGTTCCGGAACAGTTCCAGCACATTCCTCGCACTGTGCCCAAACTGGTCGGAACTGTGCTGCAAGCGCTGCAGTCGCCTGCATGCAATTCTGAGCGATGCAAAATGGCAGTTTTTATTTTTTGGACAGTTTTAGTAACTCTGCCCATTTTCGTTTCATTCTCGCGCTTCTTATGTATAGAGAATTACGAACTTGAAGCGGAGTTCGAAAGTAAAACTTTTTTCATGTTATGTCTAACGTAGATTATCTAATTTCCTTTGCGCACTCCTTCTCCTTCGTGATTTTTTGTTAAACGCTTTTTGTGTATTTCAAAAAATCTCTGCATACGCAATATCTTCAGCCGTCTTTAGAGAAGTCTGATACAACCATCACAACTGCGCAAATCGCGAATCTTTCTTCGTGTTTTCTTGACTTTGGATTTTTGAGCTTTCAGCCTCTTCTTTGCACAACTTTTATTCCTTGCTCTTTCGCTATAATGTTCCGCTTCTGATGAAAAAATTATTGATATTTGGGCTTAAATGAACATCAGCGTACGAAGTCCACATGATCGTAAAGGAATGGGTTGTTGCCCATACCGAGCACCGCCCTTTCTACCCTTTTCGCCCCTCTATCCGCTAAGAAACGAGCAAAGCAGATTTTCTTGATAAATCAAGTCTGATCTGCGTTGCAGATCGAACGGGGCGGCCACTTCCAAAAACCAATCTCCTGCTTTCAGAAATGTAGTATAAGAGACACTGTTCAGCTATACCCCTTTTCACCTCGCATAAAAATGAGTGAGCAGAACTTGCTATTTTTTTCCTTGTCCATAAGATTCTTTTTTTTATCATCGCTATTCGTCGCAAAACGATGTCATATTTGCTTAAACTTCTGTAGTCACTTGCGACTTGTACGCAAATTCGCAATACAAAATTCTTTCCGATTAATCTTCAGTGCAAAGTCCCGCAAATTATGGTCGTCTAGAATTATCCCTGAGGCAATTAATTAACCACCTTCCTTTTTCTTCAGCTAACAAGCGTAGAGAGACGAGCCGGTCGGCATGAAGGTTCTCTAGATCATGATTTTTGTCGTGAAAAAACTCAATTTAAAAAAACTTACGTCTTTTTCAATTTTCCTCAGTTTTAACAGATGGTACAGCAATTTGATAAAGAAATCCAAACCCTGCTCGACAGCGGACAACTTTTTTGTCAGAGGAGCGATAAAAAGAGATTGCCTTCTCCTAGTTGCTGCTCCTAGTTGTTTTGTTCTCGCTAACACTTGTAAAATTGGCAATAGACTGGCTATTGAAATTTCATGCCTTTTTAGACACTAGGGCGGCTTCTTGTCTGTAATTCTAAATTTGATCACTTGTAATTAGATTTACGATGAGTTGGCACATGTGGCATTTTCGAGGGCAAGCAATAAGATTATAAAAGCGCAAAATGCTGAACAACAACAGGATTCAAACCGTGGTCACTCACCTGTAAACTGCAGACAATCACCATCACACCACGCCGCCATAGCGAAATTGTCTTGGCGCCTTAACAGAGGGAAGGCCGTTTTGGGGAAAACAAAGGTAACTCCATTTAAGCAAAGAGATAGTGAAAACAGATTTGAGATCAGCGTTCGAAAACTTATCCACCCATATGCACCACTTCCTATATGAATTCTTCCGGCCTACTCTCCGAAACTTTTAAAGATAAGAAGAATGCTTCCGAGCTGCTCATTTGCAAAAAAAACTTTCGCCTTATGTCGCCTCTAAGAATGTAAATATATTGGCGCTACCCTAATTTCACGCGAACAAGCGCGGGAAATTTACATATACGGCAAAGGAATTCGCCCTTAAACGCGTGAAATTTGGATAAATACAGGTATACTTGGAAGCCAGCTTGACAGCCCACAAAAAGGGTCGTAAATTCGCCTTTCTCTTTTGTAACTAACTTATTTTAATCAATTGTCAATACCAGTGCTTCCTTGCATTGTGACTGAGAGGAACATGCACGTGTCATAAGCTACTACAGAGAATTGTGCCGCCATATTTCGAACCACAGTGAGCGTGAAGAAAAGGCATACGATGAAGAATGACTATGCAAGTGACATTAATAACGGAGTTGATTCAACCATAAAAGGAATCGCAGATGTCTCGTCGAATGACACCAAACAGGGTAAGCTTAACAATACTTACATAATATTTGGCTTAACCACCTTTGTATCTTCGCCCAAGAAGGATAGAAGAAGTGATGGTAAACCAAACATGGCAACATTGTATAGGGTGGGGTGTGTTGATAAACCATTTTATTTGTGACCCACCAAACCTTCATCGACTCATAGATTTTTTGCAGTTCTTGTTCAAAAAAAATTTATCTGTGCCCAAAAAGGATAGAATGAGTCATGTAGTCTAAATCAAACCTCGCAGACATGACCAGTGGCGCGAGGCGTGTGTAAGTTAGGCGTTTTTCAAAGTCGTATTAGCTGAATCTATCAATTCATTTAAATTCTATCAAGGGTTCCGTCATTATACTAGGTTGTAAAGAAAGTTCCGGGGCACTCTTGAAAATTTCATTTTCAAACGCATTTTTTTGGCGCTCGGTTTCAATTTGACACCAAGTGTTGTATAGCGTTCAGTAGAGCGAAGCGTAAACTTTTCAATACCGCTTCTAATTTCTATCAATGCCAAGACGTGTTTGACCTGCACATTAAAAAAGGAAATCGTTCCAACCATAAAAGTTTCGCAATTTTTCTTTCTGCGCCCATTTTTCTGTGCAGTTCAAAAAATTTCGTCCTAGTTTTGAGCGATCTGATTAAGAAGCCTGTTAACTTCTGATCAGCAGCCGCACTCGAGTTTCGAGATTTGTGCTTAGAAATTACAAGCTGTCGAACTTGGCTCTAACTGCAACTCTTTTCGCAGTTGGCGTTGGCGTCGCTTCTGCGTGGATTGCCACGCCTGGGTGATGGGTCCAAAAGATGTAAGACATTACCTCAACAACAATGTTTGCAGTAATCAAAGATTTGGTCCGCCATGTGCAGAACGAGAAGACCTCAAAGTGTCTTATTTAAAAACGTATTCGGAATCAGGGCTATTAGGCCTGAAGGCGACAAAAACATTGAGTTCGAGATTTTGGGTGGACGGTGCCTTTGAACACATGAATGGTCAGCCCCAGCAAACTTCTATATAATTACAGCATCTGGGGTTCTCAGCTGTTATCCTGCCTGAGATAATCTGCACAAATTGGCCACGATGGCAATCGTCAAAGCTTTTTCTCACTATTAACGCAAGAGCGAGCCTTTGTTGATAGTTTTTGCAAAAATGTTTAGCTGTTCAGTAAGCTGAATATCTAAAAAAATCATATTTTGGGACGAGAGCTCGAAAAGTTTTTGGGAAAAGCGGGCAGTTTTGGCTTTTGTTTTTTCCTCTCTTCGAATCTTTCTTGTGCTCTTTTCATCTTTTCTTGCAGCACTGGCTTGCGGCTACAAGATAGGCTACTTACCGTTTATACTAAAAAATTTTGAAGAGAGTTATGATCAGATAAAAACAACGTCTCACAAAGAGAATCTTTTGCTTATCAGTCCATATCTTTCTGTTCGTTTGCAATATGAGCATAGTTGGAAGTGCGCTGTATGCGAAAGTCCTGCTGCCTCTAGCAGTTTTAATCGCATTGATAAATGTGGATTTTGCAAAAGTTCTAGCACGTCAAAGTAAGAACTTTTAAAACGCGCATCACTTTTGCACCAACTTGATATTAGGTATTAAGTTTTGTACCCTGTATAGTACAAAATGCCCAATCGCGTCGACTTGAGTCGACTCGTCGACTTCGACTTACCCGCAACCGCACTGGGTACACCTAAAATTTGTTGCTCTGCGTTGACTAATCAAGCTAATGATGCATGCATCTGATTAGAGAAAAGACCAACGACGTATTGCAAGTTAAATTATGAAGAGCACATTAGAGCGGAGGAGATAAGTAGACCCTCGTGACTCAAATTTGAGAGAAAATAAGATGGCGGCTACATTTATTGAATAGGCTTTATGGGGCAGGAGTGTGCAGCTCTTTGTACTAAACATATAAGTAGATTGCGAATATAATGTAGCTGATGTTCGAAGAATGTAGGGATTTGGAGAGAGAGAGTGAGAAATGGGGAAATGTGAAGGAAGGCTTCGGTTGGGAAAAATTTGCATTTAGAACATAGCAAATGGGCAGGTTTACGCCATTTTAATACATTTGAGAGGAAGCTTTCCTAAGCTAGAGGTCTCAGAAGAAAATTTTTGGCAGTTTTGGGCAAGAAAGCTATTTCGTCGTTGCTACAATCATGAAAACAGTAAGTCTTGCATAGGCGAATGTGAATAGTATCCATTGCGCTCAAAGTTATCCTCAATCAACAATGAATTCCAAAAGACGTGCATCGCAAGAGACAAATACAAACACCAGCATTCTCCCCATCACGAAATTCAGTGATTCTCTTGTTCTGTTATGTTTTGATCATTCAATTCTCTGACAGAGAGAACATTGTACGCGATTCGACAAATTGCCGCATTCAAAAAATCTTTAGCAATTTTTAGCAATTGAAATTTTATTTTTGAATCAAGATAAAGTCCTTTTAAAAGTGATTTCAGCACGACCTCCAATCAATGAGTACCGCTCGCACTTCACCAACTTCCAAACAATAGGTGAGTTGAATTTTGAACGCTCAAATATGCCTATTGTTTCTCTTATTTTTACATACATGCTGGCCCTGCGCGTTTATTCCATGAGCATTTAACCTGTTTTTGTTTTTGTAGCACTTTAATATTCTGTGGCCATACAGCGAACCCAGTGGGTTCCGTGGGTTCACGTACCTAGGTAAGATCGGTGTTCACAAGTACTCCGCTGGGTTCGCTAACCCATTAAGTCAGCAATGTGCTTCCCTAATCTCTATTTACATTTCTTATCTCTCAACACATACGTATTGCGCTAACCCAAAAGTGTTAATACGCCTGACATGCTTTCGGGGATTCATATAGTCGAGAGAATGCTTTTGTACAACAATGTTTTGCAAAGTGTCCTTTCGGGCAGATTTCGCTACAGCAACTGCAGTTGATGCTATGACGGCATCGATCCTAAGGTACTGCAAATTCTCGAAAAATGCATTTCCAATTCTTCAAGTTTTACAGTGGATATTTGGATGTTCGAATTATTTTGTGGAGGGGCATAAGCGAATGCGTTGATTACGAGCAAAATAGTGTGAAAGTCATCGATTGAGATATCGATTTTTTGGATTTTTCAGTAGAAGACGGCCAAGTTTGTTGGAGGGAATAATCGAAGGCGTTGATTACAATAATATTGTTAACAAAGTGCCCCAGCCCACAGGAACTGTGTAACTTGTTTCGTTAATACCGGTGTGTTCGACTTTTGGGTTCGCGGACCCATTGGTTCGTTTGTGATTACCGCTTAAACGCTTTTTGTGACCCGGGTAGGCTTGGCTCATTGCGTTAGAAAAACCCATTAGTTTCGTGAATACCGTTCTCATGAGCTATACTTACCCACTGGGTTCCGGATTCCGGGTTAGTTGATGAATACGACCACCAAAACTCAAGCCCTTCCGAAAGTGTCTCACTCATAGCTTAGCATATCTTATTGTTAGTTATCTGAACCACGGGCGAGAAGACAAAGTAGTATTCTCAAACTAAATACAACAATATTAATGACTATTCAATGACAGACGAACGAGCACATATACAGTCGCTTTGATATTTTTCTTATGTCAAGTTGGTGAGCAGATTTTACAAAACGGTTACGGATAATTGACCTAGGTTGCATTTCACACATCTTCTCTTCCTCATTTGAACAGCTATTTCAAAATGTTCTTTGGTCATCCTTGAGCGTTAAAGTTGATAGATATAGCAAACTTCAAGATATTTACATGAACTCTCTCGACATTTTACCAACTTCTGAAGATTAGGTTTCTTTACAAGAAACCGGTTTGCAGTTCTAAAATAAATCTTATAAAAGAACTCCAGAACTAATTTCCGAATGCAAATGATAATGAAGGTAAAATTACTAACAAAGATGCTTGAAATACTGTACCATCCATACTTTTTGATTTTGAGTAAGTACAGCCAAAGTGATGCCACGTCAAATCAACTGCAAGTCCATTGAAATAACTCGTTAAGCATGAATAGAAAAATCAAGACTTATTGTTAGCCGTACAGTATTGAGCAACCTGACCCATTCTAAAAACAATGATTTTTAAGCACGCAAACTTAAACCTGACATCTCAGAATTCTAAAGAGAACTGATGAAAGAACACGCTTTCGTAAAAAACCAAGGGAAACTGCTTTGGATGCAACTTAGTTCAGTGTTGTTTCGAATGATTTACCCTTTCGAAAATGCGAAGAAATTTTTAGCACAATCTTTATATGTCTCTCCTTTGATATGAGAAAGTGAAAAATAAGATTTTCGTGCTACAGCTTGTTAACAATGGACAGCAAAACTAGTTAACAGTGAATTGATTGAGACACTGTGTCTACGATAGTACGTGCAGCTGATTTGATATGCTTGGCAACAGGCACTGTTTGTTTAAGAACGCTGATTTTATATTCTCCAAATTAGCCCTTATCTTCTAAACTAATATTAGAAGCAAACCACACTACTCTTAACCAGGCCCAGGTATGGAAAAATGTAAGTTGCACAGGTAGGCTGGGCCAAAAGTCGGACCCAATGTATCACTCTACCACCACAAATTTGTTTTCAAATTTTGCTACAGAATGCTGCATTTATCTTCACAAGTGTAGTTCTACGGACCCAGTGGTCGATGTAACAGGTTGTCCCATATGTTCCGTCCATTTCGATTTTCAATCGCAGTAAATCATGAACTTCTAGTTTTTAGATTGGTTTCAAGGTATCGTTCGATAGAGCAAGGCAAGCTCTACAAGATGTCTATCTCGCTTTTGCACCAGTTCTGGTCCATCTCAAGTTTCAAGGCGAAAACTGGAAAGATTCAACTGCCCAAAAAATCGAGAAAGAATCATAACTCCGTTTAAAAAAAATCTTACAAAAATTCTAACTTGCTCGCGTAAATACTACACATCTAAGACATTTATATACGTCGTTTTCGTATTTTTTCCTTGATGCTGAAATTGAGAAAACCAAGTTTCATGTTTTTGCTAAAACGTGCTGTGCTGTTGCTACATAGATAGTTGTATACTACTAGCCTGTAGAATGCAGATGTAAATTTTCAGCTCTCACAGGCACTAGTTTTCAAGAAGCATCGAGTACAGCTTCCTAGTTGAGTGTCCTATGCTAAAATCCATATTTCTCCAGAACTAGAGCTTGTAGAGAGCTGAAATTTTCCATTGGTACTTCTACAGGCTAGTAGTATACAACTATAATAACAGCACATCATCGCTTTAGCAAAAACATGAAACTTGGTTTTCTTAATTTCTAACCAAGAAAAAAATACGAGAACGGCTTATATAAATGTCTTAGAGTATAGGGTTTACGCGAGCAGGTTAGAATTTTTGTAGGAATTTTCAAACGCAGTTATGAGTTTCCTCGATTTTTCGGGCAGCTAAAACTTTTCAGTTTTCGCCTTGAAACTTGAGATGGATTAGAGCTGATGCAAAAGCGAGATAGCCACCTTGTAGAGCTTATCTTGCTCTATCGAACGATACCTCGAAAGTTGAAACGAACGGGACTTATGGGACAACCTGATATTTATAAGAAAGTAAGACCACCAAATCGGTACTTCTGGAAAGCGAGTCAATTCTGATTTTTTATGGTGCTGGCGTTTATTGTATAGCTGGAGGTAATTTGAGCATCTTAAAACGATCTCATGTTTACTTCGAAGTTATATGCGTATCAACGCTATCTTCTTTTCAAATTGCACTTTCTATTAACTTTGCCCCCCAAATTTGCAAGACAATTTCTTCGTAGACGTTTCAGGAGAGAATCGACTCTATCGTTTTGCCCTTTTTCCCTGCAAATTCCACGAAAACATAAAACAGGCTCGATGTAGATGCAATGTGCGCCACGTTGTCAGTCCTTCCAAGATCAGGGCAGGCTATCCAAAAGCTTGATTTCTATACTGGATTTCTTAGTCTTTCGAACAATTCCAAATTTTTTGTCTTTATGTGCTACGCCCTGTTTTCATCAAAAAATAATGGATAACCACACTGTTGTTGCACTGTTGACTTGACAATAACAGTGAAAAAGCGAAGCTTAGTCTATTGCAGCGTATTAACGTGAGCGTAAAGCCGCTGCGGCTCATTTGAGCCTCCTCAAGCGGTCCCTCGCAGCGTGCGCGGACGTATAGTCTGGGCAATTTGACACACATCGAACGATGCGCCGCTTGCGGTCTGTCGTCTCCTCACTTTTTAAAAATTTTTGACTATCCGGCTTTTAACCTCCCAGAACTAGTTCGGCTTTCTCCTTGCCCAGTCGCTGCATTAATGTCTGATTTTGAATTTTTCTCGGTTATTGTTTAAGTCTCTAATTTGAATTTGTACTTTCGCGAAGCGTCGCAGTTTTGAACTATTTCTTCCCTTTTTTAGTTCTTCGACTTTTGTCCATAGACCATTCACTTAAAATCCGCCTCTATTTCTAGGCAGCTAGAATCTGCAGAACTTACAGACAATCGCGTAAGTCATGTCACATCTTCTTGAAAGTTTCTTTGTACATGGACAGGAAAAGCGAAACTTGTGCAGATAAAATCATTTTCTTATAACGGCTGCAAACTTATGACTGTCCTCCACTTGGTCTCTTTAACGGTTGAAAGTTGATCCAGACAGAGCTCGTACTAAGTCAATCCCAAATGAGTTAGGGGATCAGACAAAACAAAAAAGAATTCTAAGGAAAAATGGACAAAATAAAAAGAAAACGAGCGAGGTCGTTAACAGGGGAAGAATACCAAATTAGATTCGCCTTTTGAGATAGGGAACATATATTTGGAATCAGCTCGGAGCGTTGATTCCAAATGTACTGTTTTTAACTGCTTAGCGCTATTCCGAGGAGAGTTATGGTTCTTTTCTGCGCAAAATTTGAGTGCTTCTCGACATACTGATGCTATAGTGTCGAAGTCTAGGTGGTTTGCAATTGTATAATGCTCCCTTTCAAAATCGAAAGAATTAATCGAATAGCAGTTCAACCTCCTAGCACTTTTTTCGAGCACATTCTTAAGTAGACCCCGTCTTACGACATTCAGAATTTTGTTAGTTATACACAACAGCAAGCCCATAACTGGGAATAACACGAAGCAGCTAATATCTGCTCCAAGACGAAGGCGGTCGCCCAAATAGGTTGAAAGCATGCAAGGCCGCGGTGCGCGTGCAATTGTCAACCACAGGGCGCGCGCCCGCTCGCTCAGCGGTCATCCACGCGAGCGTGCGCGCGACCCGTGGTTGACAATTGCCCGCGCGCCACGTGCGCGTCAGCCTTGCATGCTCTTAACCTATCTGGGCGACCGCCTTCGTCATGGAGGAGATATTAGAAACTGCATATTTGGAATCAGCGTTCAAAGCTGATTCGAAATATATGCCATCTCAAAAGGCGGATCTAAGTTAGCATCCTTCTCTTGTAAGTGACGCTCCAAAGCTGACAAAATGCCCAGAGACACATTAGCCAGCGCGTCAGCGCAAGGCCCTTGCGAGGTCGCTGTGACCAACCGAGCCGCGATGGTCTTGACACCCGGCACCCCGTTGGGATATCCTGTATATTAAAACTTTACATGAAAGTGTATCCATTGAAGATAGTTGAGTACGCAACGACAGAAGCTTGCTGCACAGAGTACAGAGAGAATTAATGGGTATCCGAGAAAAGGTGACCACTTCTAGCATAACCGCAGTATAATTAGCGTTGAAAAGTTGCATGCTAAAAAAGGCTATATCTGCAACTGAGAAAAATTATTTGAAAAAGAAATCGGAAGAAGCGGAAGCTTAGAAGTTGATAACACATTACATATGATGCGCCTACTTTCACATAGAAATCGTAGAAATGAGAACGTAGATATGAGAAGTCTGATTCAGTCTGCCTTGTTGCCTTGTTTCAGTCTTACGAGTAGCCATTGGAGGTGGATTCGCTATTGTGTTCGTTATTATCTTCACTCTTTTATATTACTGCTTTAGCAGGGGTAGCAAAAAGGTATATAAAACAATGCTTTACTCTTGATGTCAAGCACTATCAATTTCAGAAATTTCCGAGAAAAAAATCAGCTAAAGATAATCCCGAAAAGGTAGGTCGTTTTATCGAAGTTTCTGAGCAACAATATGGTTCCAAAGCAACCAACGCATTTTGCTTCGGCATACATCGGGCATAAGCAGAGTCAAGTACATCCGACGTTTTTTACCCAGCAGATGTGCCCATGTTTGAGTACTGACTGAAATAGTGGAAAAGATGGTATGAGCCTTTCAAAGCACATTGCATGAGTGCGAAAAGTCATCAATCCGATCATGAAATTATTAGATCGTCCCGAAAGTTTTGTCCGTTTTTTTCATCGCTCATTGAAACTCACAGAATACCAATCCATGGACGACTTAGGTACCATTTGATTACCATTTGATTCAGAATTCTATTCTTTTTTTTTACGATATTTGCTCTCTGGTCTACCCTTGTTTGCAATGTTATCACCATGGCTTTTTGAGCAGCTCTGCAGTAATCCCGAATCTTTCCTGAATTTTACAAATTTTTGTCCTGATGTTTTCAATGAGCGCTGGTAACGTTACGTAGAGCAGACCTTTGGCTACATTGTACCATTTTAGATCACAAGATCACATGAGCCACGTTTACCAGATCCGTTATAACTATCTATTCAATAAAAACCGAGGTTTTTTGAATATGTTTACGTAAGAATACCGAAAATTCCAAAAAGCTGCTTTTTTAAAGCAAATCAAACTTGGTTATGTAGCTAATCATAACTTATAATAACGGGCTAAGGTTGTTTACGTGTTTTTGTGTGTGTGTGTGTGTATGTCTGTGTGTCTGTCTGTAACGAAATTCATAGAGCGAGTTCCAGCCAACGTCCTGAGCCCAAATTTTGCACATTGCATGCGACCACCATAAGAGCCTACCATGCAAAAGCACAAGTGGTTTTGTTGGGTGGATCCCTCAGAAATTGCGCGTCAAGCGGAACCACTTGGGTTCTGGCCAGCAAAATTGGTTCCGTATCACCACTTTTTGCAAAGTCGGGGATGTGTTTGACATGCTGATGTGCAAGCCATGGACTTTAGTCCAAAAGAGTGGACAAAAGTTTACTACTTTACGAGAACGACGCCAAAAAGAAATGATTGCGTAAATGGTTAATTTGCCATAGTTCTACCTAAGCATATGAGAAGAATTATGCACAGAGATGTAGCTCACGTTGCCTACTGTCCTTATGGCAGCTACTAAGCCAGAAAGAGTCCAAAAACCTATTCAAATTTGCATTTGTTCTTCTGCGAGAAGTTTCATCCACGCGAAATCACCGACCTCACATGAAAAAGCATTTGGAATGGGTAGTTGTTTACATTTTACTCGCGATAATCGGCACTGCGCGGTGAGTTTCATTGCCAGCATTAGTCAAGAGTGAACAAGGCATATGAAGTAGGACCAGTGTGAGCCTCTGCGAAGCAGAGGTGACGCACTGGTGTTCAATAAGGATCATGTTTCAGTTTGCACAAACTTCAAAAACTTTCGTGTATTTGCTGCAATTGCGTGTTTTATGACTTTGCCAAAAATACCTCCGAAGAAATAATTTTGTTGCTAAAATCACCAGATTGAGAGAACCTAAAAATATCACCTTGTAATCCGGGAATTGCTGGAATTGCTCTATTTGGCCCATACTTAAAGGCAGTGTCTCACCAAAATTTAGTTGCCGAGATTTTTGCATTTTTCAAGCCTGTCGGACCCTGTCTAACATTGTATGGGCTTAGATTCGCACGAAGTTCCCAAAAACCCCGTTTTCTGGAGGCCCCGCGGAAGCAACATGGACGAGTTGTGCCTTCCAACTTCAGCCTCAGCCACAGTGGCAGCAACAGAGTGGAGGTGGATGCCAAGTGGAGGGACATGTTTAAACGAGTAAGGGGGGAGACGAAGGAGTCGTCCGCGCGTACCAAGTCGCTCTCCGCGTACTACTTTGAGCGAATTTTTCTCAGCGTAGAGGGGTCAAATTGAGTGGGACTAGTTGCAATGGCCTATTCAGAGGCCCCTATAATAGAATATGTGAAGATCCGCGCGACCTCAACTTTGGTGAGACGCTGCCTTTAACCCTTTCCGGAACTTTGAAATGAAATTTTCAGAAATTAGCCCTTTGAGCACATGAAATTGACCGGTGAAGAATTTTGGCAGTCATCAAAAAAAGCAAGATTGTGGTTCGAATGTATTCATAAGAAAGAGAAGGAAAAGCTGCATCGAGTGCATGTTGAAACTTATTCAATCGTTTATTGTGTGTGGCTTTATAGTGGTCTGAAAAAACGGACAAAACTTTCGGGGCAACCCATAAATTGATCTAGTGACTGTGAATCAGTACAAAGGGACTGCAAACATTAGCGCACTTCTGCAGAATGCTCTTCCAAACAGTGGCTTATCCGAAGGCGATGTCAACCGAAATCTCAGCCATTTTTGTCATCCTCTATCTGTTTTTACAGCTATGATTCTGACGTGCAAGACTTCAAATCTTTTTGCAGATCGATGTTAGCACGCGTCAGAGACTGCTACAGTTCCAGTTTTGTAGGATGCGAATAGGGGCAGATACACAGTGTGTTCATTGTGCTTTCCATGTAAGAGACAGGGATCAAGGCCGCAGATCCTGTCATGGGAAGGGAGAAAGCAGCGATGCTAGTAAAAAGCGCTTATCTTCAGAATTATTTATCTTTTCACGAAGTTTATGAGAAATTCGGAAAAATAGGATATAAAAGAAGACAAAAATAGATATGATCCTAGACAGAAAAAAATGGTGTCTAGGATATGATATTATGGCGCTACACATGTTTGTGGCAGAAATAAGTGAACTTTTAGAATGGCTAAATTTTCGAGCCACAACTCACAAGTCGAGGTTTATAAACTCGTAACCACGGTCCATTCCATTTGTCCGAAACAGGGGGGGGAGGGGGCATTGTCTTATTGAATCCAGGCAATTAAACTTAATGATGTTTTCAATGAGATTGTGGGAAGAGAAATGACTTTGAAAATGACGGCTTCAGCGGAATGAGAGCAGTGGAGCGCAAAAAAGAAAGCTTTACATTCACATGTTAGACCTTGGATTTTACGATACCTATAAGTCTCGACGTATTTATCCTACTCTTTATTATGTGCATAAGGGTAGCCTATTGGTAAACAAGTCTCATTTTCCTGCCCTGTATGATACTGGCGGCTAACCCTCAACTTTTCGAACATTTTCTTTCTTTGGCAGTCAACAAAAACATTTTAATTTGTGATATACATCAATCCGGCACCGCTAAGCATGCTCTCGAAAAGAACAGTTCTCAGAATGTCAGATTTGCCATAAAATCCATTCGAATTAAGGTTCGTTAAATTTACAATACTTCAATTCTCCAACTGCTTTCACCAGACGCATGCTTAGTGCGCTGCTGAGTTAGCTAATCGGTAGAATTTTGAAAAATATCTTTATCGCGTATAGAGGAAGAGAAATGACTTCACAAATGGGAATTAATTGGGAATCATACACTCAGACAATGGACCGAATCCATTCGGTAGGCTAATTCGGTACCGTCCGGGCTCTCCCAGCGGAAGTACGGAACTCCTGATCCGGATCGTACCGAACTTTATGCCCGTCTCAAATTCGTCTTTAAGTACTATGCCCCACTGTTTTTTTTTTCAAATAGCTGGGTAATCAAACCGAACTTTTTGGATCGGGGGGATTCAGATAGCCCCGCAGACATTATAGAAGAGTCGCCCTTAACTACCACCTTCAAGGAGATCATCTACAGACTTCGCACAAACACGCCCGTCCGAAAACGGCCCGAACGAAGTCCGATGAAGTGGCGATGACGGATTTGTTGAGTACCACTCCCCCTTCAACAATTTCCGCCTTCCGTCCTTTCCAAGAGCTTTTTTCATCCACGAAGTGCATGAGAAAGACTGCGGAGTTGGCTGATAAATTGGATAATGCACAACCATCAGGTCAACTCCACCCCCTGTTGTGACAGCGGCACCCACTTTCTTGGAAACTCGCCCCCTTCGCTAAGTCCGCCCACACAAATCCCCGTAAGACCAAACACAAAGCGTTTTTTTTGAACAAGATCAAATGCGTGAAATCATGCTCAGAACCACATGTGGAAGATCCAGCCCCAGAAATGGCAAGCTCAGCCTCCTTCAAACTCCGAACTATCTTTTTTCAAATACCAGTGCGTCACCTCTGCTTCGCAGAGGCTCGCACTGGCTCTACTATCTATGTGCCTTACTCATTCTCGTAAAATCGTGGCAATGGAACTTACCGCACTATGCCGACTACCACGAATTAAATGTAAACAGCTACTCATTCAGAAAGTTTTTTCACGTGAGATCGGTGATTTCGCGTGGATGAAACTTTTCGTAGGAAGACAAACGCAAATTTGAATAGGTTTTTGAAGTTGTCATGGCTTGGTAGTCCCCTTAAAGGCAATAGTAACCGTGAGCTACATCTCCGTGCGAAAATCTTTTGAAACGCTTAGCTAGAACCTTAGCAAATTAACCATTTACGCAACCAACTCTTTCTGGCGCCGTTTTCGTTATGTAGCAAACTTTTGACCACTTTTTGGGCTAAAGTCCATCGCTTGCACGTTTGCTTACCAAACACATCCAGGACTTTGCAAAAAGTGGTGATATGGACCCAATTTTGCGGGACAGAAGCCAGGTGGATCCGTTTGGCGCGCAATTTCTGAGGGACCCATTCAACGAATCTATTCGTGCTTTTGCACGTTGAACTTTCATGAAGGTAGCATGCGCTATGCAAAATTTGGGCTTAAAACGCTGGCTGGAACACGCTCTACGAATTTCGTAACAGACGGACACACACACACACACAAAAACACGTAAACAACCCTTAGCCCGTTATTATAAGGTCTTCATACTAACTTATCACACACACACACGCACGCGCACACACACACACACACACACACACACACACACACACACACACACACACACACCACACACACCACACACACCACACACCACACACACCACACACACCACACACACACCACACACACCACACACACACCACACACACACACCACACACACACACACCACA